CCAAAGACGTGTCCGAATCCCTCAAACCAGGGCTCTGATACCAACTTGTAACGACCCAATTTTCACAACCAAAATTTTTTTGTTTAAAAATGTTACTTTAGAAAATATTAATAACTAAAACATCGTTTGATCAATCATAATATAAACTGAACCATGTCTGAAAACCACAACATACAACCAATCAGAATATCAGAGTATCAATCCCAGAAAAGCTCGTAAATGCGGAAACCGGAGAGTGTGTGTGTGACGTGCTGCTACCGCGCCGGCTCCTTTCCCCTAGCTGAGGAGGTACCTGAAACCAAAACTGAAACTGTAAGCACAAAGCTTAGTGAGTTCCCCCCATAATACCCCATACCATGCATACATATAACAAACAATGTTCAGCTAGGAGTTACGGGCCCTGCCCACACTCGGGAAGATACGGGCTCTGCCCACACTTTGCTAGCCGGGAGATACGGGCCTCGCCCACACTTGTGAAGTTACGGGCCCTACCCACACTTCGCTATCGGGGAGATACGGGCCTAGCCCACACTCCAACCTCGGAGAGATATGGGCCCTGCCCTCACTCAACCGCTAACCCATAACATACAAGTATCACGCAGACAACAAGTATAACCAACTCTATCATATTAACACATATTTCATACTTGACTAAACCCAGAGGTACGGGCTCGGCCCACACTCTAGTACTAACATCTCGTCTACACGGGTCGACCCTGGAAAGGAAACTCACCTCGAAATAGCTGCTGGTCTGTGTGGGAATTGATCACCTACTACTGCTGCTGCTGCTCCGGAAACTCCCCGGCTGTAATTCCCACAATATACTTAATCATACACTGCTAACTGTCCTTTGGGTAAAAAGACCATTTTACCCCTGGTCTAGCCCTAAGTCAAATCAGAGTCAACTTTTAGTTGATCCGACTCGCCAAGTTGGCTCTCCAACTCGCCGAGTCCCTGTCCAGACAATTGTCATGGGTCCCTAATTCTACTCGTCGAGTTAGGCTATGACTCGACGAGTTCATCTCCTAAACTGACATTCAACCCCTTCATCCTACTCGCCGAGTTGTATGAACAACTCGTCGAGTTCATCTTCTTCCGAAGAACACTTATGCTAAGACTCGCCGAGTTGTATAAACAACTCGCCGAGTCTGTTCTTGATCTATGAGGATTGCCTTGGACTCGCCGAGTCAGGGCATTGACTCGCCGAGTCCTAACATGGGTGAGTTCAGCTCCCAACTCACTGAGTCACCCCCTGTGACTCACGGCTCCAACTCGATACATCATAAAGGGACCAATTCGGTGACTCGCGACCAAACTCGCCGAGTCGCCGCCATGCCTCCACCCAATACACCGATTTGCTCGATTCCAATCCATGCCATTCATAGATCTGGACTTCTAGGACACAAATCACACGTAAAGTTTCCAACTTTACGTGTGGATATTCACCAATATGGATTTTAGGGCTCAAAATGCCTTAAAAGGGTAGATCTAGGGCTAACAAGCAACATGGGGCCATAAAGCTAACAGATCTGAGCTCTTGGAGCTCAATCTTGCCTAGATCCAAAGGCCAAACATCTTATTACGACATATAATGCACATACAAGCTTGGGGATTTGAACAAGAAAGACCCAAATGAAGTTTTAAGCATAGAATCATGGGGAAAACGGGTTATACCTCAAGGGAACTGCTGGAAGAACACAATAGTTGCCTGGATGGCTTCCCTTCTTCTGGATCTACTTCCTTCCTCCTTAAAAATCTTCAAAAACACACACAATAGCCTCAAACTCTCAAGGAACAGCTTAGAACGAGGGATACAGGGCTCTAAGGGTGAATGAGGGATGGCTTGGGACAGTTAAGTCGTTTAAATAGGGTGCAAACCCCTGAAACTTAGGGTTTCACCCAACAGCGGCGACTCGCCGAGTCCTGGATATGGACTCGCTGAGTCGCCAACTTAAAACGTGACCTGGGTCACGTCTCTACTCGGCGAGTCGGACCTATGACTCGCTGAGTCCAAGGCTAAAATAGGCAATATTCGAATAAGATTTACATACCAGAAACCAGGTGCTACACAAGTGGATGAACTTGCAGCCAAAAAAACTTGAGGGATTTGGTTGGTAAAGGGATAAAGGTCGCTCGTGTTGTCACATCGGATGAGAATTTGTTTGGTGAGGTAGTCCTTCACAGAAGAACCAAATTCGTCAAATTCAATAGAGCATTTATCGTCACGGGTAAATTAACGAACATACATAAGATTTTTAATAATTTAAAGAGTAATAAGGATAGTTTTAAGAAATAATGTACGAAAAGGATGTTGACTAATGGAAGTGCTACCAACATGGGTAACGGGAAGACGAGATCCATCACCAACTACAACGGAAATATTATTCCAATTATTTCTAACAGATTTTAGAATACCTGAGTCGTGGTGGAGGTGAGCAGTTTCCCCGGTATCCATGTACCAATCTGTATTCCCGGGATCTTGAAGATTCACGGTACGAAATGCTTAAGGGAGAGCTGTGGGCTGATCAAAAAATTGGGCCTGCTGCCAATTAAATGGTTGCTGATTTGGATGTAACGACCTAATTTTCACATCAAAATTTTTTTTGTTTAAAAACGTTACTTTAGAAAATATTAATTACTAAAACATCATTCGATCATCCATAATATAAACTGAACCATGTCTGAAAACCAAAACATACAACTAATCAGAATATTAGAGTATCAATCCCAGAAAAGCTCGTAAATGCGGAAACCGAAGAGTGTGCGTGTGACATGCTGCTACCGCGCCGACTCCTTTCCCCTAGCTGAGGAGGTACCTGAAACCAAAACTGAAACCGTAAGCACAAAGCTTAGTGAGCTCCCCCATAATACCCCATACCATGCAAGCATTTAACAAACAACATGCAATTAGGAGATACGGGCCACGCCCACACTCGTGAAGATACGGGCCCCGCCCACACTCGTGAAGATACGGGCCCCGCCCACACTTCGCTTTCTGAGAGATACGGGCCCCGCCCACACTCTTGAAGATACGGGCCCCACCCATACTTCGCTATCTGGGAGATACGGGCCTAGCCCACACTCCATTCTCGGAGAGATACGGGACTCGCCCACACTCAACAGCCAACTCATATCATACAAGTATCGCACAAACAACAAGTGTAAACAATTCTATCATACTGGCATATATCATAATCAACTCAACTAAGAGATACGGGCTCGGCCCACACTCCAATACTAACGTCTCGTCTATACGGGCCGGCCTTGGTGCCTTAGACCCATTACTACTGGAAGGAAACTCACCTCGAAATAGTTGCTGGTCTGTGTGGGAATTGATCACCTACTACTGCTGCTGCTGCTCCGGAAACTCCCCGGCTATAATTCCCACAATATACTTAATCATACACTGCTAACTGTCCTTTAGGTAAAAAGACCATTTTACCCCTGGTCTAGCTCTAAGTCAAAGTCAGAGTCAACTTTCAGTTGACCCGACTCGCCGAGTTGGCTCTCCAACTCGTCGAGTCCCTATCAGACGATTGTCCTGAGTCCCTGTTTCTACTCGTCGATTTAGGCTATGACTCGACGAGTTCATCTTCTAGACTGACGTTCAACCTCGTCATCCTACTCGCCGAGTTATATGAACAACTCGTCGAGTTCATCTTCATCCGAAGAACACTTATGCTAAGACTCGCCGAGTTGTATGAACAACTCGCCGAGTCTGTTCTTGATCTATGAAGATTGCCTTGGACTCGCCGAGTCAGGGCATTGACTCGCCGAGTCCTATCATGGGTGAGTTGAGCTTCCAACTCACCGAGTCACCCCTTGTGACTCACGTCTCAACTCGATACATCATAAAGGGACCAATTCAGTGACTCGCGACCAGACTCGTCGAGTCACATATACGACTCGCCGAGTCGCAGCCATGCATCCATCAAATACACCGATTTGCTCGATTCCAGTCCATGCCATTCACAGATCTAGGCTTCTAGGACACAAATCACACGTAAAGTTTCCAACTTTATGTGTAGATATTCACCAATATGGATTTTAAGGCTCAAAGTGCACCAAAAGAGGTAGATCTAGGGCTTTCATGCAATATGACCCCATAAATGCATTAGATCCAAGCTCCAGGGACTAAATCATGCCTAGATCTAAAGGCTAACAACTTATTACAACCCAAAAGCACAAACAAGCTTGGGGAAGAGCCCAAGAAGGACTCCCATGAAGCTAAAAGAGATTACAAGCTTGAAAACAGAGTGGAAACGAGCTATACCTCAAGGAAAATGTTGAGATGACACAAAGATGCCTGGTCTCCTTCTCCTCTTCTTGATCTACTCTTCTTTCTCCTCAAAATCTTCAAGAACACTCTAAAACACTTCAATCTCTCAAGGAAATAAGGGAATAAACGATGTTGGGAGTTCTGGGGGTGAATGGGGACGAGTTTGGGGCGGAATGAGGGTTTAAATAGGGTGCAAACCCTTGTAATTTAGGGTTTCATCCAGCAGCGGTGACTCGCCGAGTCCGAGATATGGACTCGCCGAGTCGCCAACTTAAACGTGTCCTGAGTCTCGTCCCTACTCGGCGAGTCGGACCTTATGACTCGCCGAGTCCAAGGCTAAAATAGGGAAATACTCAAATAAAATTCACATACCGGAAACCAGGTGCTACATTGGAGGTCCAGGAAGGAGAGCATGGTGGGCCGGTTGCTGAGTAAGCTAATGAAGCTGTTGTCGAGAGTGGGTTTGTGGTGAATTGGGCCAACGATTTTGATGGGGGAGAAGGGAGCAGCCTAACAGCCTGTTGTTCGGCAGGAATAAAGACCCAGCGACCGATGGGGTTAGCTGTTGTGTGCTGAGAAATTGCACCACCTCCATTAAGTCACTGGCCACCACGACCCTTGCCGCCATTTCGCCCTATGCCATCGCCTCGATTCCGGCTACCACCACGTTGATTTCCACGATTGCTTCAAGAATTGGTTGTTTGAGGCTGGTGATTAGAAATCAAACATGATGAGGAGAAGATGAGTCCATGTGAGATGCATGAGGGATTCGACTGAGTTGATTCTGCACAGTTTTTTCTTTAATTGACAACATCGAACGCATCTCAAGGAGAGTTGGAAACAAAGTCTTGTGACGGATGGTAGTGGGGATGTGGTCAAATTTGGAAGATAACCCATTGATGGCATAAGTAACTAGGGTTCTTTCAGGAACTTTGGAACTGATGTTAGCTAAGAGATCAGAAATTGATTTGATGCATGTGTAATACTCCATGACAGTGGATTCGCCTATAGTAATATTCCGCAGTTGGTTCTCGAGTTCAATGGCATTTGCTTCCTTGTTGTCACAGAAAAGATCTTTAATAGCCTTCCAAAGTTGAGCTGCTGTTGCATCAGGTATCAAAATAGATTGAATAAGAGGTTGTGTGAGAGTACCATAAAGTCATTGTTTGACAATGGAATCAACAGTACACCAATCTTGATCATCGGGATTATGGTTGGTGCCATCAAGGTGGCCAAAAACCTTATAGGCAATGCAATGATTTTTGAAGAACGCGCGCCTGGCATCATTGTTTAACCTGTCAAGATCAAGAATGAGAGGAACATACGATTTGATATTGGTGATGCCGTACAATTTATCCAAGGCAGTAGTCATGGTAGAGGAAAATTAAGGAAGAAGAAAGAATGGGAGGGAAGAGATATCGAAACAGAGAGGGAAACGGCTAGGGTAGAATTTGGCCTGATACCATGTTAGTAAATTATTTTCCCATAAAGCACCAATATATACATTCCACCAATATATAATACAAAATATGGAAAGAGCTATGATTGTGGGCAAAATATACAAGGGCCACACAATTAAATGAATAACAATGGAAAATACAATATACAAATATATATATATATATATATATATATATATATATATATATATATATATATATATATTGCTAACAGAAGCTATTGTTGCTATTAGATCTCCATTTGCACTTGCTTTTTCTCCAAACAATCCTTAATATACTTGCACCATTTGAACAATCGATCAACCACAAGTAACTTATCAACCATTGAAACTTTAACTGCTCCATTCAATTATGTTTATGCAAATGTGTTCACAAACAACATAAAAAATTAAGTTTAAACAACAATTATCCTTCCGTATCTTTATTTTTTTTTTTCAATAAATTTCCATTGTTGTATTTTTTGTTTGGGAATTGATTTCTCCATGCTGCAAAAATATCCTATCTTATTATGAATTGAGTCTACGTCATCCAAATGAATTGCATTATTTAGTAAACCAAACATTTGATCTACAGATGGGCTTGACCAACATATGTCTCCGGTGGAGTATCGTACCATCCTCAGATATCGACTCATGATTCCAATATTCTTAGCCAATGGGATATGTCTGGTGTGCCGCAAGGTATGTTTGGACTCTTTCGGCGAGCATGCATTTCATTGCAAAGAACTCCCGGGGTTCAAATACAGACATGATATGGTTAGGGATGTTTTGGTCGACATATGTAAGCATGTCGGGGTTTCCGCCAAGAAAGAGGCTCCAGTGAATTTCCTTACTGACCTGACAGAAGAAAAGTCAACCCTTAGACCGGCTGACATTTTGATTTTTTGATGAGTTAGAGGGAAACATGCATGTGTGGACTTTATAGGGGTATCCCCTCTCGTAAGTTTGAGGGCCGGGGGTTTCACGGCGGGACAGACTGCATTAAAAACTGCTATTTGCAAGGTTACAAAACATGAGAAACCGTGAATGGAAAATCAACACGCGTTCATACCATTTGAATTTGATACGTTTGGTTTCCTTGTGCCGGATGTGGTGAAGCTTCTTAATAGACTGCAACGGATCATGCATAGCCATGTTATATCCCCTAGATTTATTGATGTAGTCTTCAAAAGAATTGGGTTTACCATACATAATGGTTTAGCGGAGCAACTTGTTGCTCGTTTGCCTTCTTGTTCGTTGTATGATGATAACTAAAAGAGCTAAATCCATATTATATCTACAACATCATCTGTTGAAAGTTTTGAGCGTTATTCCCTTAAGCGTGTACATGTTAAAGTACTAAATTGTGAAAGCATAAAATATGCTAGTCTTAGAGGTAGTTGATTAATTTTCGTTGGGAGGAATGCCGCAAATCCTATATTAGTAACTGATTCTTTCTGTCTGAATGACAATTTCTGAATTGCTAAAAACAAATAATGTGGAGACATTCTTGTACTTGACGAGTGGAATTCACCATTCGACTCATCGGTTTTTTTATTTGTTTATGAAGTACGTTTTGTTTTTGACAATATTGAGGCTTATGTATCAACTCAAAAATGTAGTAGTTGTGATGTGGTTTGTGGTGATAACAATAACGACCGACAACAAATAATTCATTGGAAACATATTTTAATGACCTTTTTAGATGATTAGGCAAGGAGATGAACTTGGTAAAGGCTCGACATATCTGAGGCTGACATGACTTTCATTTTATGCATCTATTTCAAACAACTCATACATTTTTATTTTCCTTTTAAACAATTTGTAGACATTTTTGATGCAACTGTTTTAAACAACTCATGCACTTTCAAATTAGTTTCGAATATCCCCTACAATTGCAAGTTTCAAACAACCCCTACATACTCCTGCTACAAAATAGTTTTGTACCCGAATCGGTACTAGTATCGTACCCTCATAAGTCTGATTTTGTTTTTGTTTTCTTGATTCCTTGATTTCGGTTCAAGAACCATTGTCATCCCTATTTTGTGATATGAAAAATCGAAATAAATATAAATAAATATATGCGATTTATACCTCCTAAATTAACACTATTATGAATGTTGCTAGACCAAAAATTATGCCCCTTACTATTTGTTGCCTTAGGCCATCCCCTGTTGGACCAGCCATGACCTGCACCCCAAGAAAATAAAAACACTACCGTAAGAAAATGAATATTGTTAGACCGGAGGATAAGGGTGAGGCGTTTCCCTCACTATTTGAGGGGCACACCACCATTTCCTTATTTTCTTTTTCCTCACCTAAAACCCAATGAATGGGTGGGAAATTTCCCTCATTATTTTTTTTATTTTTTAAAAAATATATTTCCTATAAATAATATACTCATTTTATAGGGAATTAAAAAACATAAGTTTTGATATATTTTTTTTAATAATTTTTAGTAGGTATATAATTTAATAAATATTAAAAAAATAAAAAAAGTTGGCCAATGGAAATAGAAAAGAGAGTGAGAGAATAGACTCGCTCACATCTTTCCCTAAGTCAAGAAATGATGTTCAGCTGAAAGGGAAAGCTTCCTCCACTCATTCCCTCATCCATACTATTTAGTATCATAGTTTTAAAACATGGACTAAATTTATAAATTTCATGAGACTACATTGTAAATTTATGAATTTCTTTTTAAATATTACCATATTGATGAAAGTTGGATTGTCTCAATACTATACTTAGAGATTCTCATTCATCTGGAATTGTTTATTTTTGCATATTAGTTTGAACTCGTTGACAACATGCTATGCATTTACAGCTCAACGCACTATTTTTAGACCAGAAAACAACATTTGTTACAAAATGAATAAATTCGAACATTATGGGCTTTTTGGGTTTTATATTAAAACTTCTAAGAAAAACTAGAACTTTGATATATTACGAAAGACAAAATTACATTATCAAAAATCTTAAGTGACCAAAAAGCACTATTTTTGTGTAGAAGAGTTAAAAAAATCAGTTTAAAAGATCAAATTAAGATTCAATAACATTATAATAAGGCAGGTGAAAATCATTTAAAGTATATCATAATAACAATAATGTTGGTAGCCTTTCAACTGTCTCAATAAATAATAAAGATATTTATAAAAGTTGTTTTCTATGATTTATAAATGTTTACTTTCTTTTTAAATATTACATTAATTCTTTTTAAAAAAAAGTATATATATATATATATATATATATATATATATATATATATATATATATATATATATATATATATATATATATATAAGGTTAGGTTATTTTGTTTTTACTAAGTATTGTGTGCCAGAATGCACAGATCTGGACCAATGGATGAAATTAATCAATGGATATGATTTGAGAGTGTATGATATTACAATGGGGTAACATGTAGCATATAATCACACAATTTTAAGCAAAAGGGTATTTTGGACAATTAACTACATTTATAAAAGGAAATTTTCGGATTTTTAGGGATGATTAATTATCCTAATTTAAAAAAAAAATCTGAATTTTTTAATTAATTCAATTTCAATTTTTTACCAATTTTATTCTGTCAGAATATTTTTTGTTTAAATGATGCTCTTTCAGAATTTTATTCTAATAGAATATTGTTTTGTTAGAATGATAGAATGCAAACCATAAACTAGTAAATATATTTTCGATTTTATTCTTGCAAAATATATTTCCAATGCAAATATTTGATTTGAGACATAAAAAACCAATTCATTCATATTCGTACAGACTAATATCCTTATACATTTAAAATAGTTATACATATTCTAAAAGAATATCATCAAAGATGAATAAAATTCTTAAAAAATAGCATTCTTGAATATACAATTATTGAACAAATACACTTGATCTTCTTCAATGGTTCGTATAATTCACTTGATCTTCGCATATATACTTGTTGTTGAACTCGATTCCAAATATTTTTCTTGTATAATCAATATTGAATTCCTTCTCTACGCAATTCTGAAAGAATAAGATACATTACTCGTTAGTATTATCCGTTAAACAAATATACTAGTTAACAAACATTCGTAAAGACATTCTAATAGAATACATTTATATAAAATAAATTCTGACAGAAAACATTACAAAATGCACTTAAATAACATTCTTTTAAAAATCTTTTGTGAATAATAGGCATCAAATTGATGATTGTTACTAACATCATTCTGAAAGACATTCTGCAAGAATGATTCATTTAAGCTGTAACTAAAAAAACATACTATAAATTCTAAAGTACACAATACAACCATTCTAATAGAATGTCGCAGACATTGAAATTCTATGAAAATACATATAAACAATTAACCAAAATTCTATCATAATTCTGACAGAAAACATTACAAAATGCACTTAAATAACATTCTTTTAAAAATCTTTTGTGAATAATAGGCATCAAATTGATGATTGTTACTAACATCATTCTTAAAGACATTCTGCAAGAATGATTCATTTAAGCTGTAACTAAAAAAACATACTATAAATTCTAAAGTACACAATACAACCATTCTAATAGAATGTCGCAGACATTGAAATTCTATGAAAATACATATAAACAATTAACCAAAATTCTATCATAATGCATATAAACAATTAACAATTCTAATAGAATGTGGCAGACATTGAAATTCATTTACACAAGTATCTGAATTCCAATTGAAATTCTTACTAACAATTAACAAATGGTTTATTTTTACACCAAATAACATGATCATAACCAGTAAAAAAACCTAGATTTCAACTATGCATTTTATCGAACACTTGGTGTGCTTCTTCAATTTCTTCAAAAAAAATTAGTGAGAGTCTTATCAATTCAGTTTCTTGGTGGTCAAGAACTCGAGATACAACTAAAAAAACATGTTATGATTAGTACAAGAGCATACCAATTC